TTTCTTTTTCTTTGATTTACTCCTTTTTCAAAATTTCAAAAATTCCAAATTTTTATTAAAGAAAAATTGGATTTTCTTTCTTATAAAGTCTCAATATCGTCCAAAATTTCAAATTTTCTAGACGTACAAACATTTTTCCGGGTTAAATTAGGCCAAATTTTACTAAAGACACTACAAATACTTAAGATTTACTTGCAATCTTTTAATATTGGTATTATAAATATAACTCACAATGCCCCATTGTGGAAACCGCAGCCCGGACAGCAGGACGGTGCCGAAATGGGAGAAGCTGGTGGCGTGCATCAAGACTGTCCTGTTAGCCACGTGCCGTTGGTAGGGGTCCGTCTCGGCCCGTTTTTCGAAGCCGATCACCTAAAACACGAACCGTGAACTCGTAAAAAAACACCGACATCCATAACCCTCGCTTTGTCCTCCGGCATGCTCTTCTCGATGAACGCCTTCACCTGGCGATATTCGTCTTTTGCGCGGTCGAGTATCTGAAAAGTTTGTTCGCGTAAAAATTCCAGTTTATAGAATTTTAAGTAAAGTTTCTCCCAATTTAGAATTGAAATTGATACTAGCGTGGTAGTTTAGGCTTAAAGCTAAAGTTATAAACGGTAAAAACTCTACAAAAAATTAAAGTCAAAGGTTCGTACCCGTAGCTTGATATCCGGACCGGCCTTCATCCTCAACGCGTCCAGCGGATTGACCCCATAGTCGTATCGGCAGCTCATCATTATTTTGTTCATAATGCCGAGCTGCGTAGTGGCCGCATCCGCTCAATCATCTAGAAAAAAAAACTCCGTAGCACTCCAATACCCAATTCCATCGGGGTTATTTTCATAAAATCGAAATTCATAATGTCGAAAATTTATAATGTCGGCATTTCAGAATGTCGAACTCTAATCCTAGCGACATTTCAAAGCGTCCAAATTTTCGAAATTTCGACATTTTGAAATTGAACATTACGATTTACATAAGCAATTTTCGAAAAAAACCCCGATTCTATCCGAAACTCGAAAAGAAATTTCGGCATTCTCAGCTTTCGACGTTCGGAATTTCGACAATCTGAGTTTTCGACATTATGAAATTTCGGGATTTTAAACATCGACATCATGATGGCAAATCATTTTACCGTGTCCAGGCTCTCCTCGTCGAACAGATTCAACCTGTTGACGTAGGGCAAAATTCCGTAGAACAGGCGCTGGTCAGCCTCGATCAGTTCGGTGTGCGAGTCCTCGTCGTTTTCGTCGACGGCCTAAAATCAAGAGTAAAACAAAGTCAGAAAACATCATACATCTCGAATTCGCTCCAAGCACCCGGCGGCCACCTCCATGTTGATGCCGGTCAGGGCGACTCGCGGCATTTTTTCTGGTGTTGATCCCGATCCTGCCGAGCAGCATCTTCATCCGGTGCTCGTCAAAAACCCAGCGGAACAGGTCGACCACCCAGGGGTGGAGGCCGGATTTGGTGATTGGTGGCATCTGGAAAACATGTATTTAGCTATTTTACAAAGGTCATTCATTTTCAACGGAAGAACGGCATGATTTTATTAAATAAAATATCGTTTTTCTAACATAAATGGTAAATTTTGGGTAATATAGCTGTTTAACTCTGTTTCAAAACCTGCTTACCTGTTCCGGCGGCGCATATTCGAGCTTGTCCTCTTTCTTCTCGAAACTCTTCCGGTCCCTCCAATGATTCCCGGTTTGTCGTAGGAAACTACTAAAACCAAAAAAAGATATGAAAAACCCGGCAAAATACCGACCTATGAAAATGCTCAATGGCCGCCTGCGGTGTCTCGAACTCGTAGACGCACTCGCGCTCCTTCTGCGCCTGGTAGTGGCCCCAGGTTTTGATGAAGAACCATCTAAAAAGAGGAGTTTACAGGTCCAAAGTAACGAAAAACCTCTGTTCTCGATAGTGCCGTCGCAGCTCTATGCAGATGAACTCGGCGCTGTGCTCTTTATCCTTGGGAGGTGAGCTTGAAAAGTGGAGCGATGTAGAAGTCGCCTGAAACTTGTAAATAATTATTTCCACCCCAAATTTGACGCCGGTCAACCTAAGACCCCACCCTCGCTATCGGCCATCATGTCCGTCTGGTAGAGAAAGTAGAACTCTTGCTCCCAGCTCGGCCCGACCCGCTGGATGCCCGCTAAAAAATGCTCTCCATTTAAAAGGGCCTCCATCCCGAGAAGCCAATAGAACTCACCATCATCAATCTCGTCAATTGTCCATAGGGAGCCCTGCTCAAGGCGTTGCGCGTCCATGAACTCGTCCGTCATGTAGTACCGCCGGCCCATACACTGAAATTTCGGCGTTAAAACGCTGCCTTATAAGCAAAACAGCTTCAATATACGTACTGTAAAACTGTAAATTAAGGTACTGTACGTAAATGTGATTTAAAGAAAGAAGATTTTAACAAATATTTCACGAAAAAACGGCAGCAGTTCTTCTGCGTTATCGGGGCGGGGTCGTTATCGGGGCAAACCAGCTTTTTTTGTTTGAATTGAATTTGTAAAGATATAACTGAGAAAAGTGTTTTAAACAATTTTTTACTCCTCTAGACATAAACTACAAATTTTTATTGGAAAATATATAAAAAAATTTTCGACCAAAATTTCGAATTTTTCAATATATTTTTTCCTGAAATATAGTCTTATTGTACTGAAAACGCTACAAAAATACTTCCTATTATGTTATTAGACGTTTCTAGAATCCTAAAAAAGTTCGACCCCCAATAACGCGAAAGAACCTGTGAAATACGAAATAAAATAGAGAAACAAAAAAGGTCCGAAATAGCCGTTAAAACCAACAACCTAAAACCTTACATTTATCGGAACGTCATCTCCTAATATCCGTGCCAAATTCGGGGGCACAAAAAACGGGGCTCGCGGCGGATTCCAGAACAGCTCTTCGCAGTCCTTCCCCATACATTTGTAGTTGACAAAACTAAATCGAAATTAAGGAATCCCATGTGAAAAACTTACTTCCACGTAATTCGACCGCCGCATCTTCTACAAGGTAACGGCCGTCCAAACAGCGCCATGTCCTTCAACCGCGACATTGCCTAAAATTACGCTCTAGAAAAATTGTCGAAAAATTACATCGAAAAATCCTTGGGCGCCCAGTCCGTAGTCTAGATTCAGCCTGCCCGGCCCAGGTTTTGCGGTCTAGAGGTTCGGGTTATCAGCGCAACACAACGAACACACAAGACAACAACTCGTGAAAATTGATCATTTGGTTCTTTTGCATTATCGGGGGAGGGGAATCCTTTTCCTATAAGTCCAGAAATGTCTAGTAGCATAATAAAGTGCTTAAATAGCGTGTTTTCGGAAATTTAGCTATATTTAGGAAGCAAAACAATAAGAAAAATTCGAAAAATTGTTTAGGTGAAATTTTGATTGAAAAGCGGCCATTCTTGGCCGAAAATCGTGATTATTTGTGTTTTTGATTCGAAAGTTGCAACAGTTTTTCATTTAGGCCAAACGAAACCAGATTAGAAACACTTACTCTATTTATATTAGCAAAAGATCCTTAGAAAAAAAGTTGCCCCCCCGAGAATGCGAAAAAACCGATAATTTTTCTATTAAACCTAAGATCAAAATTTAAAGCGTCAGCTTCAAAAAATTTTTGCAAAAAAGCTGGATCTAATTCCTACATCAAATTTATCCTGCTCACCGATTTCTCAATCTCCTTCTCGGTGACGCCGAGGTCTGCGTTGTTCCAGTGGCACAGGTTGAGGATTTGCGGCTGCTGCAGCTTGGTCCGGATGGCGACATGCAGGGCGTGGAGGTGGTAATCTTGGGACTAAAAAAAAACATAATTTTTAGCGTAAATCCATCTATGTAGTATCGATTTCTTAAAAAAATTTTATCTATATTAATTTTTCCAAACTTGAAAATTCATTAAAGGAACTCGTGCTTACCTGGTGATATTTCGCGACCATCTCCTGACTGTCGGTCATCCGCTCCGAGGCGACCGAGTCCGACCGGGGTCGACCGGGAGGGGTCGCCATTTTACCTGAAAAAAAAAGAGATTATAAACGTCGTCGCTTCAAATCACGAATTTCACGGGATCAAAAAAACCCGGTTTTTCCACTAAAACTGACTAAAAAACACCAAACCCAGCAAGTTTTTCCTGCTGAATCCATTTATGGCCATTATTTAGCTTCGTGGATGCAAAAAAAACCGCGTTTTCGGCAAGTGCCGTGGCCTGAATAAGCCATTTCACAAAATATACAATCATTTTTGCGCGCGTTTATCAAATCCTAAAATAAAGAGTCAACCTCCCGATCAGGCTAGATTTATGTAGTTCATTTTCCAGCAAAAGATCAGATTTTAGATTGACAAAGATTGGGCGGCGACACGCCCTCCCTCCGAACGGCCCAACCCGAGGCGCCCCAGCAACCGGACACGCAACCTAATGAGAACGGCACCAAAATTTAATAATAAAAATATTCATCGAATCCACTTCAAATTCTTGTTTCTGCCGATATGTAAGGGATATCCTGTTACCGCCATCATTTGTTTGTATTTGGCGGGAGCGTTATACCGAGAACTTTATTGAAACGTGAGACGAATAACATATCTCAGGCCTTGCGACGGCCAGGAAATGAAAAATATAGTACCAATTGAACTAAGGATTTGTACGAGATGAAATTGCAGTGAGGTGAGGCCCTGAGGTTGCTCGGTTAAGTATGCTCTAAATCGTGGCTATTGGGTGCGGCAGGTTTGACAGGACCTGACGAGAAGGGGCCAGCCCAAAACAGGGCGTAAAACGTGTAACACGATAAGTTGGGGGAGGTATATAATTTAATACATGCTATCGAAGAGAAAAATGCCATGCAAATAATGATAAATTATAATTGGAAGCTAACGGGAACAGCGAGAAAAGAAGCGTATTTAAATACAGCAAATTTGTGGGAGGTAATTAGAACGGGTGACAATCCTCGGTCACCCTCAGTCGCATGATGTAGCGCAGGCGGACCTGGTCGGTTTGGGTGACCAGGTACCTGGAAAAAAGGAGTTATTGAAAATTGACGATATTTTGAAAGCAGAAGAGGGACTGGAGCGTTACCGGAGCGGGGGGGGGGTTAAATAATGAAATTGCAATCAGCAAAATGATCTTAGCTTTTTAGGTATAGAAACGTAATTAGGAACGTTCGGAAACTATTAAAAAGTATGAATCCTATTTTTAAATTTTAAAAATTCCATTTTTTAACTTGAAAAATTAATTTTATACGACTTTTCTGGCCAAAAATGCTTGAAAATCCGTTTTTAAACGTCAAAAAACAGTTGTATAACACTGTTCCATTGGCAAGGTCGCAAAATACACTAAAAACTACACTACATGCAAATAAACTAAAAAATCAACTTCGTTTTCATTGCCCCGCTAAAAACTTGCCTCCCCCCCCGCTAACGATCCAGTACCTAAAAATAACTACGAAAAACCTACTCGTTGTAAAGAGATCCCACAAGGGGCAATTCCGCGGACTTCAGCGGGCCGACCGGGATGATGTAGCATCGTTGTTGGAGCACGTCGCAAGCCGGGTCCGGCGATGCCGTGCCGGCAACTAAACGAAAAACAAATAAAATACTTATTGTATTAATAAATAATTGATTAATACTAAAATATCAACAAAGAAAGTTGTAGAATAATGCACAGTTGATAAACATCAAAATGAATTATCCATACCGAAAAAGAGTCAAATTCGCCGGCCGAACCGTATAAGTAGTCCCTGACGCCGTGCGATTGGATCTGGAATTTAAAATTGAAAAATTCATCGCCTATGGCATAAAACGAGCAGCTCACAACGCAGCTCAAAAAAAAAAAAAAAAAAAAACAAGACAAAACAGGACAAAATATGAAATAGGTGTACCTTTCCGAGCGCCACCTCGCACAGCAGAATCAGCGCCTCCTCGCGGGCCAGCGCGGCAATAGTGTACCGACTTGTCGAACAAATCCGAGAAGTAGATGGGCATCCCGAAACGCAGTGGCCGGTCTGTAATGAGTATAGACTGTTTCTTAGATGATTCAGGCTGTTTGAGGCTATGATATTCCTTAGATGATCTTTAGGGGCCTGTTAGAATTTTTTATATAAAGCCGCGAGATAAGTTCTAATCTATTTGCTGAGAACGTAAAAACTACAAATCTTTTTTAAAATATTCTGAACAAAACTGACAAATTCGTTGAATCCACAGCGGAACGATGTTCAAAAGACTTTCCCGAAAGTATCATAAGTTTGTTCTTTAGCCTAGTGAAATAATCCGCTTTATTTTACTAAAACCAAAGTTACCAGGCGTTCCAGAATTAATACAAAAATTTCCCCCGATAATGTGAAGAGTCCTAGAATTTTATTAGAATGACTTTATTAGAGAGGGTTTTATATGTTTTCGGATAGAAAGTTCCTACATACCAAAAATATACACTGAAATGTTCTCAAAATCCCCCTGCTCGCTTACATGTTGCCTCCTCTGGGGGCGACGCTAGGCCCGCGTGAAGATGCCGCAGTGAGTTAACGAGCTGCGAGCCGTGCCACAGCAGCTTCCGGTTGCCAATTTCGTGCCAGGAAGTAGCGCTCCTCGGTGGGGCGACGAATCGAAAACACCTAAAACATAGAATAATTTCATCTACAAAGATCCTTACCTCCAAGATTTGGCAAGAATTATGGAAGTGGCCGGCTTGCATGTACAGCTGCACAGGTGTTGAACTCGGCGCTCAGCGTTCCAGCGGCCAAAACCACTCCCCCCTTTTAAAAGGGGGGTCTGACGCATCTACTAATGGCAAATGTCATTTATTTTTGTATTTAATAATTGATAATTTAATTTAAAAAGTCTATTTAGAAATTCCGGGGAATCTTCAAAACACCAATCAATGAGAAAACGTCCCCGAGAATCCGAGAAACCTAACGTAAAATTTTAATTGAATGGATTTTAAATTTGGAAGCGAAAGCATCGGAAAACCTACAATAATCTCGACGCCCATTCGGTCGTAAAGCTGATCAGTATGTCCGGGGCCCGAATCCCCGTGCAGCGTCATCGTGTCGTGCAGCTCGGCGAGCTCAATGAGTTCAGCAGGCTGGTCAGTCTTCTTCACAAAAATACTGCATTTTCGGTGCCGAAAAATATGCCTGGATAAGCTCCAGGGTATTCACCGCGGTCGGTCGATGTGAGCGATCAGTCGTAAAGACGGCCGTGTCTTTTTCGATGCGGGCTTTGCGCTCATTGGTTTGTTCCTTTCAGCGCCTGGAAACAGAAAAATAAATTACAGAAGATACGAGGGGGGGAGTATATTTATCCGGAAGTGCTCCGCAAAAAACATTTAAACATGTTTATTGTCGAGCAAATGATTTTTTTTTAGGGGAAGAATAGGAAATATAGAATACCTCGCGCAGTCCGGTCCAGCGTCTCGTAGGCGAGCAAGATGCGGTGCTTCGTATTTCCGTCCATCATCATCAAGTTGGCCGACATCTGGTTTTATTTCCCCATGTGCAATAAAACGGCGCCAGCATAGATTCCGCATGCGCTCTGTCAAAAGATCTTTCGCTGAACACCTTCCGTATCAGGTCGGCCACCGGCCCCCTGGCTGCAGCGGGCCAGCGGGTCTAAAGCGGAAATCAGGCTCTCCAAAAGCCGGGATTTTGAGATTCCCCTTTAGAGACTTCAATGAAAACAACACATCTGCGCCTGTCTCCTCCGGCATGTAGCTCATCTTGTCGCGCTTCTTGTCGAAGATGACGCGGGTTAGCCCCGCTGTTGCCGGTCTTCTCGTAGAAAAGCTGAAAACAATACAACTAAAATGAGGTTCTTTCGCATTATCTGGGGGAAGGGGTAGAAATTCTTTTGTTAGGAACCAATTTTTAAATATAGATAGTGGAAGGTCTTAACTATCTCTAAACGTAAAAACTTTACAAACTTTAGATCGTTTTTCTTGTTAAAATATAGATTTATTTTAATAAAAACGGTAAGACCGTAACTCCTGCTAAGTTACCAGGCATTCTAGACTAGTAATAACTAAAATTTCTGCCCCAAAAAGTGTGAAGGCGCAAATAACAAATGATTATAGGCGTACGTTCTGAATCCGGACGTCGCGTCATCGAACAGACAAAGTTCTTGCAATTTTCTTATCTTGCACCCACGGCGAGCTGACGCGGCCCCACGACTTGACCAGCCAGTAGCTAAAAACGTCATCGCCCGGATTCTTGTAAAAACGCCCCACCTCGCATCTCTTGTGTTTGACGAGCTTGATCTTAATATAGATTGGGCGCGGCATCCTCAGCGATCCCGGTAAGCGTGAAAAGCCAGTGAGGGGACGCCTATAATAATGTTTTCGATCTTAACAATCGTCTTACCTACACTGGTGGACATAATTATAGCCTCAGTGAAATTTTTCGGAAAATCTCTATTTCTGGCAGTGTCCGGTGAAAGCGTTCTATAAAGGGAAAAGTAGCGGTATTCTATCACAATTTCATACCACAAACCCGTTTGTGATTCTCTGAATAAAAATTTTTTTTTAGGAATATTTTCCCAAAAAAGGCACTTTGAAAAAGGGACATAATTATAGCCTCACTTGGGTAACATTTCAATAAAAAATTAAATACTCGCACAAATCAATAAGAAACAATTCCAATAATGTTTGGCTACACCATTTCATGTAATTTGATGGGGGGAGATGCCTCTCAAACCAGGGCACAGGCGGGTGATCGGCTTTTTTTTACTTGACAGGATGCGAGGTGGAGACAATCCTCTGTTACGAAGCGATACTCTTTTTCTTCTGCTTAGATTTTGAATACCGGGGAGCTTTGGACATGGCCAATCACGTTACAGTCAATAAAATTACCCGCCGACGCTAAAAAGCCCACTTTTAAGGGGTTAAGTCCGACTCTAGGGCACATTTGGCTCGAAAAATTAAGGCTTCATCTTACTCTTAAATCGGATTCTGATCCTGATTTCGATTGGAAATGTGCTGTTTCTTGAGTTGAACAATTGGAAATTATTGACACGTTCCTTTAAGTCAAGGTCAAGCATCATTTCCTTCCTGCTCGTGAAGAACTCATCTTCCAAACGGGCACAGCAACACTTTGAAATTTTTCGGCCAAATCGGTTTTTCTGCGCAATACAAAGCGAAACTTTATGGATGGCTACGCGAGAGCCTCTAACCATTGAAACAATGATCTGGAGAATTTTGGGGCCGAAGTCTACCGTATCTTCCTCAAAACCGTCATCTTCCTGTGACGGGCGAACTCAACACGATTTCCGCAGTGGCGTTCATCCGCTTTGGCGCGACTCGTTGCGCTGCGGATCAGCAAATTCAATCGAAATCAGGATCAGAATCCGATTTAAGAGTAAGATGAAGCCTTAATTCTTCGAGCCAAATGTGCCCCAGAGTCGGACCAACCCCTTAAAAGTGGGTTTTTTTAGCGTCGGCGGGTAATTTTATTGACTGTAACGTGATTGGCCATGTCCAAAGCTCCCCGGTATTCAAAATCTAAGCAGAAGAAAAGAGTATCGCTTCGTAACAGAGGATTGTCTCCACCTCGCATCCCGTCAAGCAAAAAGCCGATCACCCGCCTGTATTCTGGCTTGGAGAGGCACTCCCCCATCAAATTACATGAAATGGTAGCCAAACATTATTGGAATTGTTTCTTATTGATTTGTGCGAGTATTTAATTTTTTATTGAAATGTTACCCAAGTGAGGCTATAATTATGTCCCTTTTTCAAAGTGCCTTTTTTGGGAAAATATTCCTGAAAAAATTTTTGTCTAGAGAATCACAAAACGGGTTTGTGGTATGAAATTGTGATAGAATACCGCTACTTTTCCCTTATAGAACGCTTTCAATGGACACTGCCAGAAATAGAGATTTTCGAAAAATTTTCACTGAGGCTATAATTATGTCCACCAGTGTAGATAATCTAGTATTGGCTCGCAGTCGGCGGGCGGTGGCGGAGGCAGGTCAAAATCCATTCCTGCAAAAAAAACTTCAGAATTACCAAAAACAGCAAATACTCTCGCCAATTTTTTAAAATACAAACTCTCAGGTGCTTTCGTGTTATCGGAGGGATCAGCTTTTTTGACCATGGATCTCATTTTTAAATCTAAATAGTAGAAGTGCTTTTAAACATTCTTTTTACTATTTCCTAAGCGTGAAAACTTCACGAATTTCTATTCAAAAGCCAAAAAATACGGATTTTCCACCAGATTACACACCGTTTTTTACCAAAATTTTCAAAGTTTCTAGATAGTTTTTCTAGTTAAAATATAGCTGATTTCACTAAAAACATTATGAAAATACTTCCAATCAAGTTACGCGGTGTTTTAGATTCAAACAAAATTGCACCCAGTCTGGGGAAAGATAAGGGATAGCGACCATTGGGACCAGCGCCTGGAGGGATAAGACTGGGTTTAGGACCAGCGCCGCGGAGCGGCGCTGATTTTTTGAAAGAAAATTGGGATTTGGGATAATTTTGCAGGATTTTTCGGTTGTCAAAAATTATCGATGGTATCTGTGTATGCTGTGATTTCCGTCTCAGATGCCCTACGTAGGTCAAAAACTTTTTTGAAGCCAGCTGACTCGGAGCGAACCGATAAAAATAAATCGTCAAAGAAAAATTGCAGGCGACGATTAACGTGAAGGAAACTGAAAGAAGCCGAAGAAGAAGCTGATGAAGTCTCTAAAATGTATTCCTTTCTTATCCTCTCAAGATCATCCGTATGCTCTTGCCTATCTCTGACCTTTAAAGCTTCCTTGATGTGTATAGTACTGTAAAGTTGGCAAAACCCCGAAAGTTATCCAAAGACAAAAACCTCAAAGAGAACTGAAACCATTGCCGGAGGTAATTTTGAAACCAGAATTTAGCCTTCCTAACGAAAAACTTATTCTTTGATCATATCACCCAAAAATTGGTTCCATCAAAAACTCAAATTTTGATTTCAACGACCGAGTCACTTCAAACTTGGCCTAATGGTAGATCTGGGTCTACTAAAAAAAGGAAAATAGTCAGATTGCAGGCGCGGTTGGCCTGGTTTTAATCAGCGCCAACATCATCAGGTTGTTCCGTTGGGGTCCCCGAAAGAAGCCAGACACCGGGGAGGTACCTGGGCGAGGCAACGCATGCCGTTGCCATTACAGATTGTTATGCCCTAGCTTTTTCTTTCGACTTTCGATTTTTCGGGATTTTCAAACGAGTCGACCAGGTTTTTTTTCCGGGAACAGGGGGAGCAAATTTCGATTTTTTTTACGGGAGTCGAAGATAAAGCAGATGTGCTCTTCGATTGACGTATAGGCCACCGGATCCGGCTCTCTACGCGATAGGGACCAGCGACTCCACTGGTCGAGTCGGTTTTGTCCATGCAACATCGGTCGCTGGTCCGTAAAGTGGTCTTCAAATGCACCGAATCGAGTCGCCAGATTTATTCCAGCTTGCTGATGACGTTCCTCACCATCAGTCAACACTTGAAGTCGATCGCTCCGATTCGGTAGATGATAGCCTACCAATGGCCCCAAATCCCATATAAAAGGAGCAAAATCGGCTCGACCAACGGAGTCGCTGGTCCCATGCTCCCGGTAGAGGAGCCGGACCCGACGTACATATACGTCAATCGAAAGAGCACATCTTACTCTATCATCGGCCTGAAGGGAAAAATTTTTAAAAATTACTCCCCCCTGTTAAGAGGAAAACTCCGAATTTGGCCGATTTTCAAAATCCAAAAAAAGTGACAGTCGCTGGTCCCAGGCTCGAAGCAGACGCAAGCAATCTAAATATTCTTTTTGGCATGCGGTAACCCATCCCTTAGGCTACCTCCATTCCAATTAAAACCAATCTAGCTGAGATTTCAGGGGACCAAAACCGGGAAAAACCTTGATTGGTCGGCTGATTGGTCGATTTGGCGCTGGTCCCAAAAACCGGTCTTAACCGCGTACAAAAAATCTGATATTTTTTCCTAGTGATTAGTAGACCCAGATCTACCATTAGGCCAAGTTTCAACGGAATCGAGTCATTGAAATCAAATCCAGGCTTTGAAGGAACAAATTTTTGGGTGATATGATCAAAGAATAAGTTTTTCGTTAGGAAGGCTAAATTCTGGCTTCAAAATTACCTCCGGCAATGGCTCTTCAGTTCTCTTTGAGGTTTTTGTCTTTCGATAACAATTTCGGGGGTTTTACAACTTCTACAGTACTATACACATCAAGGAAGCTTTAAAGGTCAGGAGATAGGCAAGAGCATACGGATGATCTTGAGAGGATAAGAAAGGAATACATTTTAGAGACTTCATCAGCTTCTTCTTCGGCTTCTTTCAGTTTCCTTCACGTTAATCGTCGCCTGCAATTTTTCTTTGACGATTTATTTTTATCGGTTCGCTCCGAGTCAGCTGGCTTCAAAAAAGTTTTTGACCTACGTAGGGCATCTGAGACGAAACTGCGGACTTCTGTAAAAAAGCTTTTAGATAATAAAC